ATTGGATTGCAGTTCATAACTGCATCTGATGATGTACTCCTCCATCACAGTCTAAAGTGAAAACCTATATCATTTGATCTATCTATTTGTATATTCCCATTGTACGCAATATATAGATAAAAGATCCTACAAAGGTCATGTTTGGTTGAATTGGTTTCGGGCTATACAGACCTTTCCGGACATTTGTCGCTGCTATAAGAGATTTCCTCTTAAAAAATAATTTTCCTTTCCATTCATTTTGGGTGGGATTAACTTAGACATTGTCTGAAAGGGCATCTTCGACGAATGCCTGCTATTTGTACCTGGGTAGTGTAGAATTTTGTGATCTTGGGCAATAACAAGGAGGCGTACACAGGGAATGTTAATGTAAATTGGATAGGTGGAATCTTTACCATCTCCTACCATTGTTTTGATCAGTGGCGTTATTGATGAAACACCTGCTGGACTGCAGCGTTAAGTTGCTATGGAGAGGTGACCATTATCATCATCTATGAGGCAGCTGCTTGAATGGGCAGGTTCCCCATAAAATATATTGTTTGAGAATTTGGATTTGACAAGACAGGCCGTTTGAAAAATGTTATATCTGTATTAGGTACAACGAACACACCCAAATCCCTCCTCTTTGTCCATCCATGTGGTGGGGATCAGACAAACACCACCCAATCGACTTCACACGTATTTTTCATAAAGTGTGTGCTTACGACACGACTGATATAATCGCCACCTGTACGAAGCCAATCATTGTAGCCTCCCCAGTTTCCATTTCAAGAATTTGGCGGTTCTAATAAATTCAAATTTGGCAAACAGCGCATCACAAAAGATCATCAAGGATGATATTCTCTAGTTAGCTAACCTCAAAGGCAAGAACAAGGTTAACTGGGATTCGATAAGAATCAATAACCTCTGTTAGAGTCTCCTAAAGACGCTAGAAAATATTCCATTGATACGTCTACGAAAGGAAACATTAATCAGAAAGTTCAGCTAAGCAGTGGATAGAGATCTACGTGCTTCTACTCGTTATTCTTGATAGATCGTACGAGCAATAACACCCTCAAAAAGATTTGTAAATACGCTAAGGAAAGCCGTTAGCGACTCCTAGAATCCGTATAGTTTTTATTTATTTTATTGTTATTTTTTTTAGCATGCTTTCGTTCTGTTTTATACCCTTTTGGTGGGTTTCGTTTCAAGCACATTCTTGCTTCTTAAAATCGGAGAGCGTGCGGTAAAGTGTGCGTGCACCGCACACGATATCACCCACCATACTGAGGCATATACCTCTTTATAACTTTTCTTCTCCTTGGTCTTGGATTCTTCCTCTTGATGGCATTGCTAGCTATTTTTCGTATTATATACAAAATACACAAGCATGCTTTTCATTGACACTATAATCGAGAACGTGGTATATTAAATGTTATCACTCTTTACCATTTTTTTAATTAAACTGATGCTCAATATTGACAACAGGTATTCTTGTGGAAAGTGGATATATATATTTTTTGTATCTTATTATAAGACCTGATTATTTTTTAAATATATCGATACCAATACTTGTTAATCCGTAAAATTTTCCAAAGTTGTCATTATCTTCTTTGTTCAGATAGAAGATCATTTTTTTAATTCTTTACTTACCAGTTTTTATTGGTAGTTTCTCTTTGCCCTGTTGTATTGATTAGTTCTAATAAAAATAGCATCCAATAGCATATGGACAAAAGAGAAGGTTTAAAAAAAGGACTTCAACGAATTAATCCAACTCAAATTTAATTTTCGTTAATTATTTTTATTCTTTTTATACACTTAACATATACTATGGGAAAGTAGTGTCTTATATATATATATATATATTTATGTTACTTTGAAATCGATTTCTATTTCAATGTCTGACATTCCCGTTTTACTCGAATTCGGGGCGAAGGCCCACACCTACCAGGCCCAAGTCAACGAAGTGAAGGATCGCTTGGGCATCAAACACGACTGCTTCGACTCTTGGCTTTACACTTTTCCTTCCAGCGCCAACTTCAACGTCGAGCGGACGGTGCGAAAATTAATCAAACTTGAGTCCTTTAAATAAAAAAACCTCACGGGGTCGTCGGTGGGGAGGGATGGCGGATAAACGCCCCGCCGCGCGGCGCGATTTTTAAGATTTGTGAATGCCGTGAAGGGATTTAGGGCGGGGCGATGCGGTCTTTTTTTATTATTTTGAGTCAAAAACGGAATTAAAAAGATCCCCGCATTTGGGGGGATTTTTGAGATGGGCCTCGGCGAGAAAAGGCTTCTTCGCCCGGGGAGAAGCATTGGGAAGTAACA